ATGGAACAATTATTATTTTTTGTTATTGTGTTTTTTTGTGGAACATGAATATTTTAGCTTCCCTTCCTTGCTAAAAATGATATGATTAGCAAAACAAGGTGGTTTTATCTCACTATTTTCCAGTATATCCTCCTTTAACTTGCAATTCTTTCCTTTTTTTCCAACTTTCCCAAAGAATCATAAATATGGAACCCTTTTTTTTAACAAAAAACAAGGAACCACATGTCATGTGATCACCTTATTATTTCTGTTTTGTACTATTTGCTTTAACTTGTCAGTCCTATTCATTTGATTTTCTTTGAAACTCTGCATGCAGGAAACCAGTTAAATAAATACGTTCGAGCAACAGAGGCATAAGACGCCGAAGCCCTCAGACCAAATATCTAATTATTTGTGTTTAGTAGAAAATATACCATTGGATATGATTATGCATAACATATACAGTTATATTTAACAAAGGCATAGGTCACTAATCCATGTTGATAAGGGCGGCATGTGCGCTATTTGATTTATTCATAAACTCCAGAGCATAAGGTATAAAGTAATATATCTAAAAATACCCCGTAGCATTGACCAGCCGCAACATGACAAAACAGCAGAGGCCAAGGAAATCCATAAAAAAGAAAGGGCTCCCCTATTTTGTTTGAGCACCACTGACAGCATACATAAAAAAGAAGGCTGATATTGCAACGTTTTAGCATAATATATAATCATTTCAAGGTCCTTTTCTCAAACTGAAACCAGTTGGGTTTCTAGCTCAAAATTTGTTTGTGTTGTTAACCAGAATTTGAATCAGAGAAACTAATTGGCTTTCCCCATGTGCATCTATGTGCTTCTTTTGGTTCTTTTCCTCTTTGATGTCGGCCTATTCATAACCATGGACTATATTTGTGTTGCAGATGAATTGATCAGCCTATTCAGAGAAATCAAGCAGATAACAACACTTTCCGCAGGTACATCATGTGCTGATAACGGAAAGAACTTATATTGCAAGTAATTTTTCACTATAAATGCTCTAACTGTACCAATTGCTTGACCTGGGCTAGCTAACAACTAAAAAGTACAGGCACACATATCTTTCATGCAGCAACTTCATACAATCCTATTGCATCAATAGCTTTGATTTGTTTTAACTTTCCATAGAACAATGTCTGAAATTAGCTTTAGATCCCATGCAGTCTCAATAAGTACAAGTACTTCCTCATTTCCTAGGCTAAGTTCATATTGATATGTTGGCAAGGTTACAATCTTGCTGAATACAGGGTGCAAGGAACACCAAGACCTGAGAGATCAGACACGCAAAGGACCAGTACAAGAAGATTATTTAGCAGTTTGGTGAGCTGCCACACTGACTTCTTGTTTTACATGAACTAAATCAAAAGAAGAAAACACCCTACTAAGCTCCTGAATATGCATAAGAACAAGTAAGGTTGGAGCACTGCTCGAAATACTAGCCTTCCATTGGTTGACCAGCTAAAGAAATTAGTTTCAATAATGAGCTTCTCAGCATGAATCTCCGGAAAGAGTTGAACATCATCCCCAGTAGGCAAACGCCTCAGTTAAGTCAAATTACCTATCTTATTAACACAGCAAAGTTGCATTGGACTGGAGTGTATGTGCACCATTATAGGCAAGACTAAAATGGAAAGTGCCCAACATCACTCATTTTAATCTCTTTAAACCTACCTATGTGTATGTGAACAAAACCCACAAATAAATAGGATGACTTCCTAGTCTTCTGAAGCACTTTTCTGTCAAAAATTGTCTAATAGCAGGATGAACATTATGACATTTCCTATCAACAGCATCATTGTGGATGGGATGTTCTGCTAATAACATAATTTATTTAAAACACAGGACAAAAAAAAGCACCAAAAGAAGTGACAATGTAATCATTCAAAGTGTATCACCATCTCCTGTTGTCTAGAAACATTGGTATACAGAGACAAAACAAGTACACACAGCAGAAGCTAAATTGAAACTTTGAATAACTAGTCCGAGAGAAATGAGCCGCAGTACCCTCAGAACGAACCACCATTGCTCCAAACTTAAAAGCATGTATACATAAGAGAAAGGAGGTCATAACTCAAGCAGACATACCATGCTCGCTGCTCCATAGCACGAATAAGATGTCACTTGTGCAAAGATTGTAACTCTTCATATAGTGGAACATACGGAAAATATGGTGGCTCGCTTTCTTCAAGATTGCAGATCACTTTAACTTGTCCACGATCCATATCATAGCACATGAATGTGATATCCTCCCAGGCCAGAGTGAAGAAGATCAAGTTACATTCTGGATGAATTGCAATCCAATCAAAGTTCTCATAAAGGCTGACTGCATGAAGCCCTCCAAACACATGTGAAGTTTCGACGCTATGCTTCAGTATCCATTCTTTGCTGTCATAGTCTTTAAGAACATAAACTAGCATCAACATCATCATCATTGTCACCTCTGTCAAAACCAGCATAATGCAGGCAGCCCTGTGACTGCTGAATAAAACAAACATTCAGATCATCAGGAACACGAAAGTCAGTCCTTGCTCCCCCCTCCTTGTCCACTGCAGCTAGCTGGCGGGCAGAATCATCAACAATGGCGCAAAAATGCAGATAACCATTGAGATAGATAAATGACGGATCATAACCGACATCGATATTGCCGCTCCATCTCTTCTCCTTATGAACCCAACTCCCGGTTTCAGATGAATAGACATGCACTCCGGTAAGACAGTAGCCATGTTGGTCCTCCACCTCCACAGCCGGCAACAAAAACACATGGAAATGGGGGGACACGGCTGGATCAAAACACAAGTTTATACTAGACACATCACCGGAATGACCGGGATGCGGCAACTCAGCCCATTCCTCTGTGGCGGGATTGCACACAACGTATAACTCGTCGCCATGGTCGCCACCAGCGTATGAGGAGAAGAGAAGGAGGCCGTTGCAGCAGTCCACGACCATGACCTTCCGGCGGCTGGGCAGGAAGGCGGGATATGTGAGATGGCGGCTTCCCTAGATATTGGTGAAAGGAACACCTGAATCTACCAATTGGCCCCCGTCGTAGAAGCCAGGATCTGCGGCAGCTTCCGGCGGTAGGTGCGGTCGTTGATGAGGCCGAGCCAGTGCTTGGAGACGCACTTGAAGCGGCAGAGCGACCTGGCGGGCACGCGCGAGAGGATCTCGACGAGGAGGTCGTCGGTGAGTCTCTCGGCCGCCGTCTCGCTGCCGCTGGGAGGAGAAGAGGGCGACCTGCAGACACAGATGGAGAAGAGGTCTCAGGGGATCGGTGAAGAAGGTCGGGATGATTCATGGAGATGCCTGCTCTGCGTACCTGATCCGGTCTGACATGCGTCCGTTCTCCATCAGCTTGGGTGAGATCGATGAGCTTGTCTGGGCATGGCGCGGCGGCGGAAGAAAGCTCCGGCGGCGCCGTCGAGTGCGAGGAGGGGGAGGGGGAGGGGGGGAAGTGATGAAACCCTACGGGGCCGGAGAGGGGATTGAAACTGACGCGACTGGAAATGGGCCGGCAATACGTTAGTGGGCTATAAACCGTCCGTGTCACAACTCCACGAATGTTAGTTAGTGCCACCCCTCCCTTAAAATTCTCCTAGTAAATAAAATAAAATAAAAGTGATCTCAAAAAAATAAAAAAAATAATACTACCTCTCAAAATCCCCTTCAAAAATAATACCCCTAAAAAGGCTTTGATTTTGGACGCTTATGAGGCATTAGTGTTGTGGCCCACCCCGCGCGACAGGGAGCCCTGATATAGTCGGCGGGTAGAGGAGACTGACGAGGTGGAGTTCGTCTCCGAGCATAAACATTGGGAGGGATTGCTTGTGTTGAATGATCCTTCGCAAATGGTTGTGAGGTTCTCTTTCCGGGGAGATCGGCGGATTAGCAGATACTCTACTA